GGGGGAAAGAGCAGCCAGCATGCTTCCTGAGACCCAGGATCCTCAGGTACTGGCCCCAGCTGTTTCTGTCCCCTCCTCCTGGCCAGACCCCCCTCCCCACGAGTACCCTGCCCCAGCACCCTGTCCCCTGCATCCACCAGCACAGTTGGGACCATATTAGTGAGGGGAGCTTAGGCCTGGGATATTTTTTGAATCTCACTTATGTGGCCCCGACTGATTTTTCTGTGGGTCAGTGACCTGTGACTCAAAACAGGTTCCCTGCCCCTCTCATAATTAAAGACAATGCTGAAACATTTTGTGTTTAACATAATATCTTATTTAAAAATGAAGCTTGGCCAACAAGCCCCCAATTGGGGCCAAGCCCCCATCTGGCCGCAGCATCATAACACTCCTGCACCACCACCCCGCCAGACCCCAAACCTGAGCCTATCATACACTGGAACTCTCTGTCCTGAGCCTCTCATCCCCAAACTCCTGCACCCCCACATCCCCAGTCTTCTGCCACAACATTTCTGCACCAACCACACACCACAAATCTGTGTCCTGAGCTCGTCATACTACCAGCCTCCCAGCCCTGAGCCCCTCAGCCCAAACCCCTGCACCCTCACAGCCACAAGCCTGTGGCTTGCTCAGCACCCCAACCCTCCACCTAACCCCAACACTCTCCAGCCTGGAGCCCCCTCTCTGAGCCAGCATCCTCTTCTCTACTTCCTCCTGCACCCAAATTTCCTCCCAGAGCTTGCCCCTCTCACTCCTTCCTTTTTTTCCTGACGGTATGCCCTGGGACGGCATACTGGCACTTGTTTTCCCCTGGCATTGCTTTTTTTTTTCCCCTGAACAACCCCTCCCCTCCAGTACATGGTTCTTCGCACTCTATCCACCACTATTTTGGCTCTTTGTCTCCTACAGGTTGGCCACTCCTGTCCTATTTGGCAGAATATTCTGCCAATATTTGAACCTTCATTTCATGGATGTGGACGAAAGACACCTACAATGGATTCAAACATTGACTGCTGAGATCTCCATGGCTGTGTCTAGACTGGCAAGTTTTTCTGCAAAATCATCTGCTTTTGCAGAAAAACTTGCCAGCTGTCTACACTGGCCACTTGAATTTCCAGAAAAGCACTGACGATCTCATGTAAGATCGTCAGTGCTTTTCCATAAATACTATACTGCTCCCATTCGGGCAAAAGTCTTTTTCTGAAAGACTTTTGCGCAAAAGGGCTACTGTAGACAGCACAGTACTGTTTTCTGCAAAAAAGCCCCGATCGCAAAAATAGCGATCAGGGCTTTTTTGCGGAAAACCGCGTCTAAATTGGCCATGGACGCTTTTCCGCAAAAAGTGCTTTTGCGGAAAAGCATCCTGCCAATCTAGATGTGCTTTTCCGAAAATGCTTTTAACGGAAAATTTTTCCATTAAAAGCATTTTCGGAAAATCATGCCAGTGTAGACGTAGCCAATGTGCTTTGCACTTAAAGCAATATTTTGGTTATACAGCAATGTCTTTCCATATAGTCTGTTTTCAGGAACAGAGTGGTAAAACAAATCCTCACTTCCCCCATCAGTAGATACACTACATGCATCTAGAACTGTCTCTACTGATTGTTATAGATAATGCTCTTGATTTCTATTGTGATATTTCTCAATGTCCTAGTGGTTAACTGGACATTTCAAGGGTCTTTCTCTGCCATTCCACAGCACTGTCTTCCCTATCCCGAAATTAGGCATCCCTGAATAATATCACTTGAGTTTCCTGGAGCATCCTCGAGAGTCACTGGAACGTGTTTTTAACACTCTAAATTGTACTGGTGTCGTGAGGAGCAGAGCCACTGACATTTGCATATACTAAGGTGTCAGCAAGGGAAATGATGCTCATTTGAAGCTTTATATAGATCCCCTAATGACTTGTGAATTTTCTGTGCCTAAAATAAAAGTAGCCTCCTACTCTTCAGACACTTTGCACATGTAACCTGGATCAGTTTTCCTTGTATCTGAGTTACTTACCAATCTTTTACAAGCCTCATCTATCTGCTGACAAGGGATAAAAGTAGTACAGTAGATAGTTTTCTGGACTGCTTGTTGCCTGTCCCCCTCACACCATCACTCCTAGCTGTATTAATTAATGGAGAATTTTTGTAAGAATTGTCTACGGCTTTCCTTTTCTTCTTCTTCTTGGTCTATATTATAGTTGCAGTTACTGATTTGGGATAGGACAAATGAATAGGAGAACCTAGTGACCACTATGAAAAAGTGTTAGTTACAATCTCAGACTTGGAGTCCTTTCTTTTTTGAATACTCTGGCTACGTCTAGACTGCAAGCCTCTTTAAAAAAAAAAAAAAAAAGAGCATCTAGACCAGTGTTTCTCAACCTTTTTTTGCTCATGGCCCCCTTCTGAGCCTCATTTACCTGTGTGGCCCCCCCTCATAGCTGCTGTTAGTTGGGAAAAAAGGTACATCATTTACCTAATGTTCCGTTTTTTCCATATAGCCCTCTAGAGGTAGGGCATGGCCCCTGGAGAGCCATATGGCCCACGGCTGAGAACCACTGGTCTAGACTACAACCAGTACTTTCGAAAAAGCAGTTTGCATTTCATAGCATCTTTTTTTCGATAGAGTACTTTAGAAAAACAGTGTTATTCCTCGTAAAACAAGATTTTCCATGGTCAAAAAAAACTGCTGAGTTCTTTCGATTTACTTTCAAAAGAGTGCGGCTGCAGTCTAGACACAGGTAAAGATTTTTCAGAAAAAGGCCACTTTTTTCAAAAAATCCCTGTAGTCTAGACACATCCGCTAACTTGAAATGAAAATGTTTAGGGGTCTTAAGTAGCTACTCCCTCTTAGATCAAAAGTTAGAAGTATACTCCACGGATGAAGTGAACTTAATGGAACTGTTGGCTTTCTGTAAGCAACACATTAATTGAACAAACCGTAATTCTTAACATTTTTTAAACGTACTTAAGAACAGATATATAAATTGAACTCCATCAGAGATATCAAGACAAAAGTGCAAGTTACCACTAAAGACAAAACCAAGGAAGGGCATTTGGATAGTAACTCTGTGGGCCAAATTCTTACCATTACTAGCACTAATTCTTGCCCAGGGACATAGGGGAGGATGCTTATCATTCCCCTGTTCTACTGCAGGGGACAACAATGCAGGCTAAGAAAGGTAGTGGGGCTACCTTAAATTGTGCTTCCCACTGTCAGAACTCTTATGGAGCTAGAATCAATGGGGAATTGCTGGTCTGTAGGTCCATTTCAGTCAATCCTCCTCCTCTCCAGAAGAGAGTGGTAGGCTACACAGGTTGTGCAAAAATGGCAGAGTTTGGGGAAGGGTATATCTGAGCTATTAAAATTCAGTGTGATGGGGATGGTGAAATAGTGTGGCTGAAATAGCAGGGTAAATATTCTTATTGTGTGCTTTGCTGTTGGAGTAAGGACCCAGTCCATTCACACAAACACACTCTGAGGCCATCCTGTATACACATCTGACAATTTAGAACATTTTACCCACTAAAAAAACCCACAAGTTTCTTTCCTTTATTTTTTCCAGTTCAAGTTATTTTTACTTTTCATACCTGCCAACATTTCCGGTTAAATTCATGGTGCTCCATGACGACACAATCACTTCTTGTTTTAGTTACACAGAGGAGATCAGGAGAAAAGGCTGAACTGTTAATCTTTCTGACCAAGGAAGTCAAGCCCCTTTCTTGATTTAAAAAAATTCTGCCATTTGCTTCTCCTGCTCTCACCTCCTCCCCATGGAATTTGGAATGAAAAGATGGCATTACATTGCAAAACTATTTCCATTCACTTTCAGTGAAAGCATGTAGCCTTGTTACTTAGAGAAACTATATTTGCTTTCTACAAATGAAAGAAAACAACAACAACAATTATATAAATTTATGTATGACTTATTTTATACTTTCACAGCAGATTTTGGTTGGTAAATACAAGTAAGTTAGCAGTCCTATCTCTTCTGTCATGGTGACAATAAGTGAGAAATACATTTTAAATGCTTTACCTGAGTTAAAAAGATAGATTGATTGTAAGGTAAAAGACACACATTCACAATAATGTTTACAGAAGGAATACACAAAGAAATATTTTCCAAAATAAGTCTTGTTTTTACTATAAAGTTATAGAAAAATACATCAAAATACACTAGAATGATTTGCCTTGATCTGAAATGTCTGCATATTGTTCACCTGAAACAAATTAATTAATGTATAGGAGAAGTGCAAACTGCATTAGTCCTGCAGTAACAAAATATCAACATTGTCATGAACACCTTGTAAAAGTAACTCCCCTGAGTAAGTAACAATCTTCCTTCGTTTTGCAGCCTTAAGAGTGCCCACCAGAGCTTCAAAGAGGTTGGCACATTTTTCATCAGCAAAGAGCACACCAAACTTCACACTCAACTTTCCATCAGCATCTAAATCAGAGATAGAGTGTTACAACACATGTAGATTGTCCTTCAGCTGGAAGAGTATTTAGAGAGGTCAATACAAAATACAATCAACACACTACAGGAGACCTGGGTTGTTTTTCCAGTTCAATCAATGATCTTTTGTGTGACCCTTCACAACTCTAATACAGGTTGCACTTCTATAAACCAGAACTCTCTGGTCCAGCAACATCCGAGGTCTGGAAGGGCCTCAGATGTTCTAGGATCAGACAGTCCCAGCTTGCTGCAGGAAGTAGAGGGGTCCGGGAGCCCAGCATGATGCGAGAGAGAGGGGGGCAGGAGCCTGGAGTGCTACCCAGCTGTGGGAGATTAGAGGTGGAGCAGGAAGCTAGGGCAACCCAGCTGGAGCCAGGAACAGCAGAGCAGGGTGGGGCTGGCAACAGGGGGGCCAGAAATGACTCCCTGGTCTAGCATCTGGGACCAGTCAGGTTCCAAGAGTGCTGGACCAGGCAGGTTCAACCTATACTTGCAGTTCTTTGTTAAAAATGGAGATCTCTGGATGAAAAGCACTATAAGAAATTATTAAAGGAGCTGTAGAAATTGATTTGTTTTAAAAACATTTCTTATGCTGGTTAATATTTCAAGTCCAAATTGGAAAGCTAACGTGTCCCTCCTTGCCTCACAAAAATTGCTCCCTTAGGGTTGTGCTGAGTAAATTAATTTAAAAACAATCACTTAATCTATATTCTCTCTAACAAGCAGATAAAGTTATGTAATGAATAAAATTTAATTAAGAGGATTGTTATTAAAATAGAAATAAACAGAGTTACATTTAATCAAGCTGGAATAACAAATTAGTGAACCAGTTCCCATTTGCATACATTTCTTATTTTATCATTATAGACACTTTTCAAAAAAAATGTAGAGTTCTAAGAATGTTGGACATGATATGTTGCAGTGGAATTTGGAACTGATTTTCAAAGATGTTGAGCAACCACCTACAATAGCACCATAGAATCATAAGACTGCAAGAGACTGAGAGGTTATCTAGTCCAGTCCCCAGTTCTCATGGTAGCATTATCTAGACCATTCCTGACAGGTGTTTGTCTAAGTTGCTCTTAAAAATCTCCAATGACAAAGATTCCACAACCTCCTTAGGCAATTTATTCCAGTGCTTGCCCACCCCGACCATTAGGAAGTTTTCCCTAATGTTCAACCTAAACTGTCCTGGCTGCAATTTAAGTCCATTGCTTCTTGTCCTAGTCTCAGAGATTAACAAGTTCAATTTTTCTTCTTCCTCCTTGTGACAACCTTTTCTATACTTGAAAACTATTATAATATCCTCCTCTCAGTCTTCTCTTCTCTAGACTGAATAAACCCAATTTTTTCAGTCTTCTCTCATAAGATTTTCTAGACCTTTAATCATTGCTGTTGCTCTTCTCTAGACTTTCTCCAATTTGTCCACATCTTTCCTAAAATGTGGTGCTCATAACTGGATGCACCACTCCAGTTGAAGTCTAACCAGTGCAGAGTAGAAGGAAGAACTACTTCTCATCTTACTTACAACACTTTTGCTAAAATATCACAGAATGATGTTTTCTTTTTTTTCCTACAGTGTTAACTCGCATGTAGCTTGGGATCCACACTATGACCTCAAGAACCCTTTCCATAGTACTTCTTCCTTGGCAGTCTTCTCATTTTGTGTGTGTGAAACTGATTGTTCCTTCCTAAATGAAGTACTCGACTACAAGTTTAGTCAATAAAGGAGGAAGCCTCCGGGAGTTACATCCCACTGCGGCTCTGCAGTTTAAATGTAATGAGAGCTGAGTGGGGAGGCTGCCTGCCCATCCAGCTCTTACTACATTAAAACTGCAGAGCGGCAGCAGGGGTAGCTCCTGGACCCGGCGCAAGCTGGGTCTGAGCCATGCTTGCTCAGTCATGGCTCGTGCCAGCTTCAGCAGCCATTGTCCATGGGAGGTCCCAGCGGGGAGCTGGGACCCTCCGTGGACAGAGGCTGCTCCAGCAGCAGCCCCTGTTCATGGGCTGTTACTGGAGAAGCCTCTGTTTGCAGCAGTTGGAGCTGGCCATGAACAGAGACTGCTACTGGAGCATCCTCTGTTCACAGTAGCCAGGGCTAGCCACGAACCCAGGCTGCTGGAGCAGCCTCGGTCCACGGCAGCCAGGGCTGGCTATGAACTGGGGCTGCTGCCAGATCAACTTCTGTTTGCAGCCAGCCCTAGCCGCTGCAAGCAGCCTGGGCCCATGAGAGGTAGACAGGCATCACCATGGAGAAAGTGCTGGGGGGAACCAGCTTTTAAGCCAGCTCCTCCAGCATCAGTTCCTGCTGCCTTACTGCCTCTGATACTCGACTAGTCACATATATCACTCCAACAGACCATTTCCTCAGTTTGACCAGACAATTTGAATTGTAATCCTATTCACCAAAGCAATTGCAACTTCTCCCATCTTGGTAATTTCTGCAAACTTTAAGTGTACTCTGTATGCTATTACAGTATCATGCTGGATCATTATTTTAGTATAGACTTTAAAAGGAATGAGTGCTACTTTGTATAAAATCTGGGTTGACACTGGAGGACTCCCATCCAGCTAATGACCAAGAGTAAAATCCTGAAGTCAGTGGGAATTTTGCCATTGATTTTAATGGAGCCAGAACTTCATTCCAAGGCCCTCAACCTGTATTGATTTATACATGTATTTATCTTCATGCTCTCAGAGTAGTCCCCATTATGCAATGTGGGCAGTGCCACTGACGTCAAAATTAAACATATATATTATGTTTTTGCAGAACTGGGGTGTAAGCCTGCTTGGTTGATGAGTTGGTTCACAAGTTGACAATGGTACCAGTATTTACTTTCATTAAAGGCTAGAATTGTGTCATCAGTGAAATTACAATACTTACTTTTAGTCCCCAGACGGCGAATCTCCTCAACTAAGAGGTTAATTTCATGTTCCACATTCATTGTTCCACGTTCTACAAATAAATGTACATTTAGATAGATATAAGGTCTTAAGACTAATACCTGCAATTTCTTTTAACTCATCTGATCTGATCCTTGTTTATATTACTCCAGTGTTGTCAACTCTCATACTTTTGCTATGAGTCTCACAATATTTGATTTTTCACTCAAAGTCCCATATCTTGGAAGCAAGAAGAGGTTTCAGTATGAAAAAGAGTAGGTTTCTAGCCCTCATGGTTTCAGAGGAAAGCTTGGAAATGTGACACAAAAGCACTCTTTAGGCTCAAAACCTAGACGCCGATAAAAAGAACCCAAACTGTATTAATTTTTTTTAAATCTCAGGATTTTTAGGGAATGCCTCGTGATTTTGGAATTTTTGGGCTTGACAATACAGTAAGTCTTTGTAAGCTGGTAACTATTTTACCAGTCCAGGAAAGAGCGAATATCACACCTGAGTCCTTTTTTAGGCCCTTGCCTCCAGCACAATTCATTATTCAGACATCAACCACATAAAGCAATTCATCTGACCAACTTCAGTCCCCAGAAGCTTTCCCCTTGCCCCTCTCAGCCAATTACCCTTGGAAGAGGACACATCCTTTCCTTAAATCCCATTAGATAATGTGCCAGGCATGTAGCCCTTAAAACTTTCCTGGTTGTTGTACCGTGTCAGTCTTCTCTGCTTCTTGCCAACCTCTCCTTTTTCTGCTTGCCGTATAGCATCAGTGGCCATAGTTTGTCTCAGCATCTGATTTTGGGCCCATAGTCATGCATTTGTAACCTCAACTACATTATTAGCATGACATTTTAAATGTGAAATGCATGGCAAAAACTTAACTGCTGTGTCTGCCATAGAAGAGAATCTTCCCCTAAAATACCCCACGATTACTATATCTAGTGCAACTTCACTGGCAGGAGCAACCTTCAGAGCACTCTAGAAAAGGTTGCAGGCAGCCATTTGTGTTTCAAGCACTAGATCCTCAAGTGGTATAAATTAGTCTTGTTCCACGGAAGTCAGTAGAGTTAAGCCAATTTACTTGAATTGAAGATCTGGTCCAAACTCACCTATCCTTTTCCGAGAAGGTTTATTCAACATTGAGGGGCTAAAAGGCCAATAATCACTGGTATTTTATCTACCCCTGGACTCCCACCAGCACTATAGCCAGGAAAATGAATTGGTTTTAGTAGTGCTAGGAAATTTTAGACAAATGCCCTATTGTACACAATTATACCAATATTTACTTTCATTCACAGTGATCCCAAAGAACTATTAAAACACAGAATTTGCCCCTTGTGTATGTATTATAAAAATCTTGGCCCACAAATGCAACTTCCTGTGCTGTGAAATATGGCAATAATCAATGCTATACAAGTACAATAGTCGAGGGCGGGAAGTGAAGAATAATTTATTGGTAAAAAGACCATAATTACCCAAATGATTATTTGGGCAAAATACTAGGGTTAATAATCTTGTGTTTTTGAAAAATGTCATGGGATTTACAATATGTACAAGTTTTCAGGGTCTCTTGCACCTCATTTAAAGGCAGTAGCAGTACGAATTTTTACCACGCTGATACATTACTTGATGCTAACCACCTACTAAAATAACATCATTTCTTCAGGGACCTAGCATTTTCTAGCCAGTCACCATGAGAAATTAATGCAGTGCAGTGTGCTGTACATCAACAAGTACAAGGAAACCTGAGTGGTCAAGTTCAACGAGAGTTATTTTGAGATGCAAAACTGCACCTCTCATTAGAATCTGACTCCTTGAATGGGTCCAATGGACATAACCAATTAAGAACATAGGAACGCCATACTGAGTCAGACCAACAATACATCCAGCCCAGTATCCTGTCTGCTGACAGTAGCCAATACCCAATGCCCCAGAGGAAAGGAACACAACAGGTAATCCTCACGCAATCCTCCTCTGTTACCCACCTCCAGAGAAAGAGAGGCTAGGAACACCATTCCTACCCATTCTGGCTAATAGCCATTGATTGGCTAACCTCCATGAATCTATCTAACTCTTCCTTGAACCCTGCTAAAGTCCTAGACTTTACCACATCTTCTGGCAAGGAGTTGCACAGGTTGACTATGCGCTGAGTGAAGAAAAACTTCCTTGTGTTTGTTTTAAACCTGCTGCCTATTAATTTAATTTGGTGACCCCTAGTTCTTATACTGTGAGAATAAGTAAATAACTTTTCCTGATTCACTTTTTCCATACCAGTCATGATTTTATAGACTTCTGTCCTATCCCCCCTTATTCTCCTCTTTTCTAAGCTGAAAAGTCCCTGTCTTTTTAACCTCTTTTCATACGGAACCCATTCCAAATCCCTAATCATTTTTGTTGCCCTTTTCTGAACCTTTTCTAACGCCAATATGTTTTTTTTAGATGAGGCGACCACATCTGTATTCAAGATGTGGGCGCACCATGGTTTTATATAGAGGCAATAACATATTTTCTGTTTTATTCTCTATCCCTTTTTTATAATGATTCTTAACATTCTATTTGCTTTTTTGAGTGCCGCTGCACATTGAGTGGATGTTTTCAAAAGAACTATCCACAATGACTCCAAGAGCTCTCTCTTGAGTAGTTAAATTAGTCCCCATCATCAATTCTTGAAAGATGGATAGGGATCACTGCCTCTCTGCCAATAATGGCACAGAAGTACTTTATATTCTAAAATCCCAGAACTTTTATGGGAAATACTTAGTAGGGATGTGAACGTGTATTTGACTAGACAATTAACCCATGAGCCTGGGATCATCAGTTAACCCTCATGATTACACATGCCCACTCAGCCCGCACTGCAGCCTCTGAATCATGGGGAGATGCAAGAAGGTGCACGTGGGGAGCTGGCTTTTAAGCTCCCCGTGAGCCCTGCCTCCCATGGAGCCATCTGCTCCTGCCCCCCGTGCTGCTGCCTCTGATACAGAGGTAACAGTGTGGGGAAGGGGAATGGGGAACGGGAGCCAGTGCTGTGGGGAGCTGGCTTCAAAGCTGGCTCCCCGCAAACACTGGCTCCTACCTCCCCCATTTTCCCCAACGTGTAAACGTGGAACTGCTGAAATTTTTAGCAGTTACACATTTACACAAACAAACACATTTTAACATCCCTAATACTTAGCACTTTTGACTGGGTCTTATAGAACAGCGAGAGGGCAGTAATGGTGAGAATAATTTTTTTATTGTTATTATTTAACATATTTGTTCCTTGTGTGTACTAAAAGTGAGGACTGATCTCTTTTGACATGACAACAATAAGTTTGCTACTTTTAATTGCCTGTTAGCCCAGCAAAACAAATTTGACTATGGAAGTGTGGGCTGGGTTCTTCTCTCCTGCACTCATTCATCAAAAGAATCTTTAGCTTGGTCCCACTTTCAGATCCTTTACTACACATGACAGAGCAAAGGACAAAATTTGACTTTCAGATACAAGATTCAGTTTGCAAACTTGGGATCTAAAAAAAAATAATCACTGTTTATAATCGCTGTTTATCTAAAGTGAGCAAGTTTGTCATGGAGGCATTGAAATAATAAACATGGGAGGCTAGTTTTTCCAGTGTTATACACCTCCTTCTTACTGTGTTAAAGTTTATTTAAAAAGCCAGCTCCACCACCTATGTGGCTTTACAGGAAGACCTCACATGTGCATGGGTTAAGGGGATTTGGCACACACAACCTCATCCAATCTACATTTCTTCCCTAAAGCATGATAATATGATTGATCATGAACATGCAAGTGGATGTTGTCAAGTACTGAACAATATCCTAACAGCAGATGCTGCAGTGCTGCCACCTCTTCAAAACGTGTTTAAAATTAAATGGCAACACGATATTGAAATTCTAATTATATTAGCTAGTGGAGCAAATTAATCCTTCAAATTTGGTGTTCCTTTTTTGTTTAAATTTAAAGGGATGGCAAAGACCTTTGCATTATATGATACATAGAAGACAACATGTCCCAAGTAGCTTACAGTCTAATATATAGGAGTAGCATCATTGACTTATATTTGAAAATAAAATTAATTTAAGTTCCCCCCCCCCATCAGTTTAGGAAAGAACATCTTGGAGTCTGAGCATGAACTACTCCTTTTTGCAAAATTTCCACTAAAAGTCAAAAGAGATTGTTAAGGTATGCATGATTGGAAGAATGGATACAAAATTATGATTTGAAGCAGTACTTAGATATTAGATATCACTTTACTTCGGAACAAATCTTCCATGCCAAATATCAAAACAAATGTTAACTCTAACATTAGTTATACTAGTACTGTTTGTGACCTCCTACATGATTTTCACCAGTTATCAGGAAAACAAACCTTCAGTTTGCATCCTGGAAATTTGCCTAGCAGAAGAGTGTTGTATTATTTTGCTGGTATACCTAGAAATATGTTATCATTGCCACTCTGTGCCTTAGTGTCCCCATTTGTAAAATGGGATAACGACACATACTTAATATAAGGCTTTGAGATCTACTAATGAAAAATGCCATAACATAGAAGGATAAGGTTTTATTAATGTACTTCTTACGACCTAAAATATGTCTAAAGTGTCTGATGGTACAGATACTTCAGTATAATGATACGTTAAGTTAAAAGCCTGAACCCACTAAACTTTCCATTAACTTTAGTAGAATCAGGATTGGACTTACATGGTCAGGCTTTATTACTGGCATAAATGTATGTTAATTCAGAGTTAAGGTTGCTTAGTAACAGGTCCTCCTCTGGCACAAGGCTCAATTGGCAAACTGAAACTTCTGTAAACAAGGAAATGCACAGTAAAGATTGCCAATGCAAAGTTAACCTCTATGCATTGCCCTGGTATGCCTGTTAATATCCATGCCTTTATTCTGCTAGCCCCATAAATGTATGTGATTTGCACAACTCAGTATTCTGCAAGAGGACAACCTGCTACCAAGTGAAGGACAACTAAGTTACAATGGAATGGTGTTCCTGGTTGAATGGATGAACAGTGGAATGTGAGAGAAATCACTGGTGGGGTTTCTGTTCC